CTACTCGGGAGGCTGAGGCAGGAGGATCGCTTGAGCCCAGGAGTTTGAGGTTGCTGTGAGCTAGGATGACGCCACAGCACTCTAGCCTGGGCAACACAGTGAGACTCTGTCTCAAAAAAAATAAATAAATAAAATGTTAATCCTGCACTATACAGAGGTCAATGATGAATAGTAGAAGGTCTGACTCCCAGATGCCCTCTTACATCCCAACAGTCCCCAGCCACCTCTCTTCTGGCAGGCTCCAGGAGTGCTGTGATGGGCAGAAGGGCAGCTGACACTGTGATGTCCCTGTTCTGTGTTCCTTAGCGAGCCCAGGAAGGACTCCATGGTTGGCATCCAACAGCTCAGTCACAAAGGGATTTGATTCCTGGGAGTGTGGGTATCTGTGGCCATGATCTGACGTTTTCAAGCTGAGACCTCTGATTAGAAACCCTCCAGGGGTTTTGATTATTTATATATAGAGTCCTGATGATTCCTTTTGTAAATTAGGCCTGCAGAGACCCTCTCTAATCTGTCTTTAAATATGAAACTGACTTTCAGCAGCACAGGATAAAACAGTGCAGGCAGGGGTCCGTAGTAGAGCTGATTTCAAAAGGGTCCTCCAGCTCCCTTCTTTTGTTTTGATGAAGGGGGGGCACATGGCATTTGGGACTATTGAGGTTGGATTTTTGTTTTTGATGTGATGTTTAGTGGGAGATTTATTTTAATTGGTCTTGATATCTCACCTCTGGACAATACCCAAAGGTAGGCTTTGTATGAAACATGTGGCCTCTTTGGTTGAGACTCAGTGAATGAAACTGTGCTTCGTACCCTGTGTTTCTTTTCCCTTTGTTTTCTTACCATGTTCAGCGCTCCTGACAGGGCGTGTTGAGACTCTGGCTCTGGGGGTCTAGATGCCATGGATGCTCTGCCAGAGTGGGCAGCGTGTGGTGCCCGAGGCTCACCCAGGCTGTGTTCTCTCTCCTAGCACACACTCACGGGACACAGTGGGAAAGTACTCTCTGCTAAGTTCCTGCTGGACAATGCACGGATTGTCTCAGGAAGTCACGACCGGACTCTCAAACTCTGGGATCTACGCAGCAAAGTCTGTGAGGAAATTCAGTCTCTCTGTGTATATACTTAGACATTAGCATGGAGGTGTTTGTTCCCATGTCTGAGCCTGAATTTAGTGTGATACAATTTGAATTTCAGATCTGGTTTCACATTTAGAGGGTGCCGAGATAGTGACAGTTTTTCTTATTTAAGGCCTTATTTAAATGAGTAATTGTGGTGACTCAGTGGTTAGAGTGTAGCAGTGTTGTGTACACAGCCATGTAGGTGCCTCTGCTTGATTAATGATGTTTGATTTTCTTTCAGGCATAAAGACAGTTTTTGCAGGGTCCAGTTGCAATGATATTGTCTGCACAGAGCAGTGTGTAATGAGTGGCCACTTTGACAAGAAAATTCGTTTCTGGGACATTCGGTATGATACCCAAAAGCTTGTTGGGGAGGCAGATAAAAAAAAGTCTGTTTTAAAATCTCAGGAAATGGCAGAAATGAGCTCCTGTACACCTTTATCTTATTAACACTTTGATATGCTTTACTATGAAATAGACGGTGAAAATCAGCAATCATTTACTGAACGTGCACTGTGTACTGGGCATTTTAGTAACTGCTACGTAAGCAAAAACGAACAAGGTACTCTTCCTACCTTTAGGTAATTTATTATAAAATGTAATAGAGAAGACAGACACAAAAGTCAGTGAACAGTGTGCTGAAGTAGACACAGGGAGCTTGTCCAAGTGTGTGAAAGAATGCCTCTCCAGATGTGTCTGGAGAGGTGAGTAGCCACTCAGAGACATTCCAGACCAGAAGAGCAGGGCAGCCTGGTATGGCTGACGCATGGCAAGGGGGCAGGGAAGGGGATGGGATGGGCTGGGATCAGTTTGCCACCGGGTTGACAAGCCATTGCCAAATGCTCAGTCCTGTAAGCCATCAGGGTTTTAGGGAAATGATTACTTTGCAAGAGTCTAATAGACTGTTCTGGTGGCACTTCAAGAGGGCATACTGGGGAGCAGGGAGATCAATAAAGAGTTAATGGGGACCTGAATTCAAGGCAGCAGAGGGAGACATGGAGGAGGAAGTCTATTCGAGGGCGAATTTGGACGGGGCTTGTTGACAGGTTGGAGGCAGAGGGTGAGGATGGGGGAAATAGAGCAAGATGGAGATTAAATGAGGACAGATTTAGGATGAGGGTGGGGTGACTATTTTCGACATGGACATTAATTTGTGGTTTCTAATAGATATTTGGGAAAACAAAAGTTTTAAGAGGTTGGAGGTGGAGGAAAAATCAAGAGTCCTTGGTGGACAGAAGGACTTTGAAGACAGAAGGATTATGCAGAGTAGTCGCATCAGGCAAGGACAGTGATTAGGGAGCAGCCTGAGGAGGAGTGGCCAGAAAGGGAAAGGAAGCTGGGGTGGGGGTTGGGGGGAGTCCTCATGATGGTCAGGGAGGGGGCGGGGAGGGGAAGCAGCGCTGTCAGTGGCAGGAGAGGTCCCTGGGCTGACTGCTGCAGAGGTGGGTAGAGTTCGTTGGTAATCCGATTGCATAGAGGCAGTTGGGCCAGAAGCCCTGTTGCCCAGCAGGGTTGCGGAGAGTGGGAAGTGAAGGACCCGTGGTTACGGATGGTGCTTGGGAACGTGGCGTGGCTCCCGAGAGCCCCGCCATGATGCTTGTAGCTTCTGGACACCGCTTCAAGTTTTATTCATAACCTTTGGTTAGCTTTTAAAACCTGAAGTTGGAACTTAAAACTGGAATTTTAGAGTTAAACTCAGTGATAGATGTCTCCTAGTCCACCCTCTAATTTGACAGGTGATGCTGGGTCCCCGGGAGGTGGAGCAGCTTGCCTCAACCTGGTGTTTAGCAGCAATGAGATAAATTCTTGCTTAGTTAAGGCGTGAGGTTAAAAAAAAAATTCATTGAAAGCTTACTATGGAGGGGTTGGCACCTCCTTTGGCTGTAAATGTCACCAAAGCCTGTCCATGGTAGCTGTTAGCTGACCTGGGCGTTGGCTGGGGCACAGAAAAGAATTGGGAGAAGAGAAGAGGAAGGTGTGTAGGGTGGTGGCTCTGTCCTGGACTCCCCAGTTCCACAACTAGAATGGCCAAGCTGGGGTTGGAGGGCCCCAGGCCTGGACTGAGTGTAGCAGGAAACCTACCAGAGACTGCACAGGTGTCCATGCAAGGCAGCCAGGCCCACTAAGGCAGATTTCTGTGCCAACTTTATCCAAAAGTTGGAATTAAAACATTGAAATAATACTTACGAGATGGTAGCCCTAGTTAACTCATGCTGATCAGAAGCTCTGATTGTCAATGTAAAAATGGGCAAGGAAATTCTTACCAGATTCAGAGTTCTAGTACTGAAAACTACTGTCATAGGGTCTATCGATGCAAAAATAAAAGTAGTCACTGAGGTGATTATTTACTGCCCTTGAAGAGTGTTGCATTCTAGTTGAATTGCAGTGCTTTTTTTTTCCTCCATGGTGTGACATCCTGGTTAAATGGACAAATTGTGACCTTTCCATGTTACATTTTCTCAGATTTTTCATCTCTCTCTCAGGTCAGAGAGTATAGTCCGAGAGATGGAGCTATTGGGAAAGATTACTGCCCTGGACTTAAACCCAGAAAGGACTGAGCTCCTGACCTGCTCCCGTGATGACCTGCTAAAAGTTATTGATCTTCGAACAAATGCCGTCAAACAGACGTTCAGGTAACTGAAGACATGTTGGTTTCCTGAGGGTCGCAGGAAGCACAGAAGCCCGGCCCTGCTGTTGTCCATGCTGCATGGCCTGAGCTCTCTGTAACAGTGCCTGTTGTCTGTTTCAGTGCACCTGGGTTCAAGTGCGGCTCTGATTGGACCAGGGTTGTCTTCAGGTTAGTAATGATGCCCCTCACCCACCACCTGTTTCATCTCAGCTCACTGGGGATGTGGAGCTGAGTATGTCCAGTGTCTCAACACGAGCGTCCAAGAGCGAGCCTGTGATTGCATTATTAGAGATGGCCCGCATCGTCGCTCCCTTTCTAGTGTGATTATGTGAACGAACCTAAGAGTGTTATACCAAAAATAATGGCTCACCAGGCGCTTTTTTCTGGGTGAGCTCTTCAGGTCCCCCTCTTCTCTTCACCTCTTACACAGAGCTATTAGAGAGCTTTTAGAAAAGAGCTGGAAGGGTTCATGAGTCCAGGGACAGACCTGAATAGGCTCTTTGGAAAAGGGCACTTTGAGGTGGTCTGCAGTTCCCGTCTCCTCATCCCCTTCTTCCACGTGTTGTGCTGCTCCCTGCTGTAGTTCCCAGCTCAGTTCCTGTGTTGCAGAGAAGCTTCTCCACAGCTTCCTATTGCTTTTCTTACCTGCTTTCACTGAACCATGTAGCAAGACGGCTATCAGCTGAAACCGTGAGCTGTTTGGAGGTTGGCGTTGCTATCCTGTGTGTGTGTGTTTGAGTCTGATAAATGGTTAGGGACAGGAGCCCCAGGAAGTAATGTGCCACTCTTCCTTAGCTGGATGAGGCCGAAATAACAAGGTGAAGCAGATTCGGCCATAGGGATGTGAATAGCACACACTCTGATGTCTCGGTACGCAGGGGAGCGGTCACAAGTGAAAAAGAAACATCCCTCCTTGGCAGGAGGGCCATGAGGATGCTGAATTGCAGGTGTGGGGTTGACAACCTTCTTCTCTTACTGCCTCCTCTAGCCCTGATGGCAGTTACGTGGCAGCAGGCTCAGCTGAGGGTGCGCTCTATGTCTGGAGTGTGCTCACGGGGAAAGTGGAGAAGGTTCTTTCAAAGCAGCACAGGTAAGATGAACCCCGTCACCCCTCTGAGGTGGTGGGCAGGGCCTGTGACTTCCTTCCCTCGAGGATCACCTCCTCATCAGGGTCACACCTCAGTCAGCCTCATGAGGGCAGCGTCTGCTCACCTGCTCGCTGGCCGAGTGGGTTAGTGGGAGGAAGCTGGGGCTGGTCACGGTGCCGCAGACCACAGTCCTTACGGAATACTCCAGGTCAAGCAGTTCGAATGGCGGCCATGGGAGAAGGTGTTACAGACACATCCCTACCTCTCTTTGTTATGTACCACGTCCTCTCTTCCTCCTTCCCCTTCCTACTCTGCTTCCTCTCTCCCTTTCTCCCTTGCAAGTCCCTTTTGTCAGTGAATTGACTTGTCCTCAACACTGGTTTTCATATACCTTTTTTATCTTCCATGTGATAGACAGCCCCCAGGCCCACTTTTTTCCTAGCTTTGTTCTGTCCATTCGAACCCACCTGCTAATTGGAACACAAACACCAGTTTCTTCCAGAACCCTCTCTCTGCCCTTGGGCAGCAGTGACTGCTCCCGGTCCTGACCAGTGCTGACCAGTGCACGTCCTCCTGGCTCTTTAGAGGCATGTGTGATGTCCCCCCCTTCCTGACTCACTCACAGCTACTCCCTTAGGGTGAGCGTGATAAGTCTTGGCTGCTAAAGGGGCCAAACTCCCTTCATCCCGACAGAACTTAATAGAACACGGTGCAGGTTTTTTCAGTGAGTCCCTGCCTGTATGTGGGCGCAGTGCTGGAGAGTAAAATGGAAATTGGAAAAATCCTGACTCTCTGAATGCATGTGAGTCTGGTGTTTGGTTTCCTAAGAATCAACGCAAATGTTCTGAACCCTGATGCTCTTTTGATCTCTCCTTTGAAGCTCATCCATCAACGCAGTGGCGTGGTCCCCCTCTGGCTCGCACGTTGTCAGTGTGGACAAAGGATCCAAAGCTGTGCTGTGGGCGCAGTATTGACGGGGCTCTCAGGGATGGGGGACCTCAGCACCCTCCTCTGGAGAAGCACGTGGACGCCCGCAGCTCTGTCCTGGCAGGCTGTGTGCCGGGAACAGCTTTGACCTCCCAGAGAAGAGCTCAAGCCATGTGGCTCAGTGGCCTGCCATAGAACAGGATTTCTGAAGATTTGACTAAGGTCTCTACTGGCCTGGAAGAATAACACTGAAAAACTCCGACACTGCAGTCACTTAGCAGAGGTTTAGGCTGTTGTCTTGGTTCACATGGGAAACACTACTAGCTCTGACCTTCCATACCTCATTGGGGGAGCACAGGGCCCCGTGGGTCTCCTCACTGGATGGCAGTGCCAAAAACACCCCACGTGTCCGGGTGTTGGTTCCCTGTGCTTTCTCCCATCCTTCAAAGTTGGTTCTGGCCTAGTGCATGTCCTGTCACCTTGGGGCCATTTACCCAATGAACTGCTTTAAGCATTGGATTAACGGAAACTCAAATGTGGGGCCCGTCCTTATTCTAAGGGGACCATGGTCCCCTTGCTGGTAGGCTGCGATGTTATTACAGGGCTCTTGTTCTGAACGCGTCTTATTACTGCTGAAATTGCCCTAGGCCTCTTCAACTGTTCTTCAGATCTTGGTTCCCTTGCCCCCCAAAATTCTACATATTTATTTCTTGGTCAAGAAATAAATCTCAATTTGGTTTTTTTTTTTGAGACAGAGTCTCACTTTTGTTGCCCAGGCTAGAGTGAGTGCCGTGGCGTCAGCTTAGCTCACAGCAACCTCAAACCCCTGGGCTCAAGCAATCCTTCTGCCTCAGCCTCCCGAGTAGCTGGGACTACAGGCATGCACCACCATGCCCGGCTAATTTTTTCTATGTATTTTTAGTTGTCCAATTAATTTCTTTCCATTTTTAGTAGAGAGGGGGTCTCGCTCTTGCTCAGGCTGGTTTCGAACTCCTGAGCTCAAACAATCCGCCCGCTTCGGCCTCCCAGAGAGCTAGGATTACAGGCGTGAGCCACCGCGCCCGGCCTCAATTTGGTTTTTAAAAAAAAAAAATTTTGAGGGGAGAGGAAGTGTGAAAGCCTTTTCCAGAAAAGTGGATTTGCTGCAAACACCCAGAAGGTGGGTGCATGACACATTCTTGCTAGTGACAAGGGATTTGGGGCCTTGGACGTATTACTCTGGAGCCAGCAATTCCAGCCGCCGGCCCTGCCAAGCCTGTGCGCCATGCCCTCCGTGCTTAGTGCAAGAAGCCCCGTCCCGGAAGCACAGCAGCGCCATCTTCCCGTTTCAGGGGTCGTGATGAAAGCTGGGGGGAAGAACGTTTATCTTTACCATTTTACCTGTTATAAAATTTTAGTTCTTTGGGTGTCTGAAACACCAGTGTTTTTATCACTTTTTAATTTGCACTTTAATTTTTTTTCTTCTACACCTGTTCTCTGGGCACTTGGGGATGTGAGTGCTAGAGCCGAGGAACAAGGGGGCCTTCCTGCCGACGGGGCCTGGGCTCCGTTCCTCTTTTCCCTGTCTGCATCTACCCTGTATGGTTTGCTCCTCAGAGAACCTGTGCTACGGAGAGTTGAAATTCACAGGGCACATCTTTTATTTATTTAATTATGTTGCCCAACAGAACTTGACTGTAAATAAAAAATCTGTTATATACTTTTCAAAGTCCATGTCTCTTGGTTGTTATTTTATTCTTCTTTGCCCTTAACAAAGAAAGGGGAAAGAAAGTTATTTCTTTTCTTGGTATTTATTCATTTTTTAGTGCTTTTCTGAGGTCTTTCCTCATTGTTCATCATGTAACCTCCATTCCACAAATTACCGCTCCCTATAAACATCAGTATTCCAGTTTCACATCATGTGCACATCGTAACTAAAACTGGAAAAGTGTTTCTTTGGAACTTTGCCATCTGTACTAGAAGAGCCCAACACACATATTCTACAGTTTTCTGCACTGAGCCCTTCTCCATAGGATTTATATGAATTATATGGGTCTCCTTTTGGCCTCAAAATTCCTCTTTGCTAAAGAGGTGTGAATTTTCCTCATTAAGGAGTGGTTTCTTTGTGGCAGCTCAGATACCTAACAAGCAGCCTGAGCCATAACAAATGACCGCCATGAGGGACTCCGCCAGATGTCCACTTAGCGCAGCAGCTTGAGTCAAGGTTCCATTACGATCTGAAGTCTGAGGCAGCCAACACTTGCAAAAAAGCTGAATGAACCCTTTACAATCACTTCCAAGGAGGTAAGTGATTCTCAAAATAGGCCCCAAATAAGTGTTGCAATAGCCTCAGGTCATCCTGTTTTTGAACTTGGAGGGGAAGCATGGTGGTTCTTTGTGTTCTCTGTCTGAGCTCCATTCCACACTAAAAACTCTGTCTTTTTAACTGTCAAGGCTGAGCTAAAGGTGAAGGGTCTCACAGCACCTGGGAATGTGCATCAGCAGGGGGCCTCCCAGTTCTGTTTCCATTGGTCAGGACAGGAGCCATGCATGGGTTTTTAATTTCCTGGGTAATTCCCATGTGCAGCCAGCATCGAGAACCGATTGCCTCCCATGTGTTCAGAGCTGATGCACCTTGATCATAAATGTCATCTGTTGCAAGACCTGCTTTGATCTAGACATTGACATATCTCAGAATTTGAGGATTTAAAAAAAATTACTGGATATGTTTTCCCTAGGTCATTTTCCAATACAGTGTGACAAATGAAGTTCTAGGTCTTACTCTTACAAGTACATATTGTTCATACGCTACCTTTCATCATATATGTTGTACAGCTCCTCCTGCGTCTTGCACGTCATGGCGTGGGAAAATTTTATGGGCACTGGGGTAAACGGACACAGCCACTCTTAGCTGTGAGGGGCCACCCAAGCTTCAAGGGCAGGTTCGCTGGGAAATGGCAGGTTGCAGAGTATACCAAAACTTGTGGAACCACCTGTGTGTCTTCACGTCTGTAGCACAACAGGGATTTTAGTCAATTAGACCTGTGTAGAGGTCCCAGGAATCGAGTGGCAGTGATGGGCTAGCTTGTCCCAAGACTGATTGCTTTGATAGAGAAACCACAAACATTTTTTGTTTTATAATGTCTTGGTTAGTAAGAAAATGAGTCCATGGCTCTTAAATTCTATAATGATCCGAATTGTATCCCATTTCACAAATGGGAAAAAATTTCACAGCTAAGCAAGAAGTTGTCCTCATCCTGGAGTCCTGACTGCGGGTTGGCACTGCCACACCAGGCCCACGGGGAGAGGCATGACACAAAGGTTCGTCTTTAGGGACAAAACCAAGTTGGCCATGCTCCTCTACGTTGTCTTTTCTCCTGTGTCCTACTTTAATAAATCTCACACTAGAAATGCCAGTTTCTCATCCAGTAAACTGGAATTCTTGGGTGAAGTGAGATATATTCTATCTCCCTGGATTCTGTAAAAATGCATGGGTGTGTGGTGCCTGCCAGTAAAAGATGGAACTTTGGTTCACAAAGTGATTCTTAGCTGCCTCACGTCAGCAAAGTCTCACTCTCTGCCCTCAGTGAGCTCCGGCTTTCATAACACATCTCGACTGGTTTCCATCTGTGCCTCTGAACCCTTCCTGACATAATCGTTGCAGATACTTCTCCCATTCTCTCCCTTCTCTGACCATTGCTGTGCTCCTCAATACTCCCCACTAAGGTAGTGGATCTTCCCCTGGGCCATGCTGCCCTCGTGTTCAACCCTTGATTGGCAAGCACAGTGAGAAGGTCCAAATCAGGGTAGACCCAGAACCAACCTAAGGAGGTGGCCAATGCTGTCCGCAGTGAGCCCTGATGTATGCCCACTCAGTCGTGCCAGCCTTGCTTATCTGTTCTGCTGGGTGCTTTTCCCCAAGAGTGTTTCATAGCAAGCTTCCAGCATGCCATTTTACCCATAGATCAGCATGCATCCCACACTGATAAGGATACCAGGCCATAGTTATGCCTATTGGAATTATAACCATAGCTCACTAGGATCACTCACTATCCAGTCCAGATTGTCTTGACTGTTGGAATAATGTTTTTTATGATTGGTTTGTGTGAATCTGGATCCAGTTAGCTTTGGCTGTGTAACAAACTATTAATACTTCAAAATTTCATGGCTTAAAACAACCATCATTTCTTATGATTGTGAGTCAGTGGGCCTGGTTGGGTTGAGGATGCATGGTGGAGGGTGGCGTCTCATACCTGGCTGTTGACATGCAGTCAGCTGGGGAATGGTGGCACAGCAAGAAAGCTAGCATCACGGTGTAAGCCCTCGTCACTGCTTGGCTCACCTTAACTATTGTCAAAAAAGCGGGTGGCACAGGCAGCCCTGCCACAGTGTGGGACGCTCCCCAAGGGTGTGGGTGCGGTGAGGGGCACTGGGGTGGCCATCTTGGTGATCGGCCCCAGTAGGGTCTACATTCTGTTCTCCCATCACCTGAGTCTATTTATTCTAGAATAATATCTCTTGCCAACGTTTATTTAATGTCCCACACTGGATTTGGTTGACTTTCCTCCATGAGCAGACATTTATGTCTCAGGTGGGGAACAGCCCACACATTACTGAGTACCAGGCTTCTGTAGACTTGCTCTGGCCCCAGGAAACAAGGAGAAGAGAGCAGGTGAATTCCGGCCCTGGGCTTTATTTTTTCAGGGAACTAGTGAGGACGGGATAGATAGGTATGCTTGTGAGCCCGGCAATAGGAGTACAAGCTGTAACAGTCGGATTTCTAATTAAAAGTCGTCAGTCCTGTTGCCCCCAAGAGTACACACCCAGATGGTTCCAAGAGTAAGTCGGGAGATCTCAGGGGCCACCATATTCTTAATACCCGATACAGTACTTGGCACAGAGTGGGTGTTTATTAGTAGAACTGAATCAGTGGAAAACAAACCCAGCAGACTCAAGATGGTTCCAAACCGTACCCAGCTGAAAGGAAGAGAGAGAGGGAGGAAGTCATTTAAAAATGTAAGAATAGCAAGAGTAAATGTTTCATAGAAATTTTGCTTTGTATATATACACGTGTATGTCCTGGGTTGTGCTGAAAGTATATTTTTTATTTTTAAAGTTACTGAGTTGAGAGTCATGTAACATAACCATTTTAAAGTAAACAATTCAGTGACATTTAGTAGATTCACAATATTGTGCAACCAGTACCTCTAATTCCAAAAAAAAAAAAAAAAAGGTACCAGTGCTCTTCAAACTTTTTTGATCTATAGCAGTGGATCTATCTGAAGAACAGTATAGGCTTCTCCCCAGGAAAAGGCGTGTCTACATGATTTTGCATACAACTTCAGGAGGTTCACAGGGCCTAAAGCCCATCTGTGGATTCCAGGGTAAAGACCCTTGGTTTGAGGTTGGCTCCAGATTCTTCTGTTGAAACAGCCTTATCATCATCAAAACCCACTGTAGGGTGGAGGCCCAGGTGGCATGAGTGGGGGGTAAAGAAGTGCCCACAACACACAGCCTTGCCTCTGGGGGGAGGACAAGAGAAAATCTTGATCAGAATCCTTATGCCTCCACTCTGTACAAGACTTCACCTTCTTAAAGAACTCATCTGCACATTCTGTGAATCTTCCCAACCTGCAAGACAGGACAGGCTGTGGGGTCTCCTTACACAGATGGAGAAAGGAAATAGGCCAAGCTATTTTCTCAAGGTCGCAGTGGATTCATCAGTGGGCCACAGAACCCAGGACTCCAGCCTGGAGCTGTTTGTACAAAATGCTCCCCATTACACGGAAACGTAGAGCGCTGAGCATCAGTCTCAGCATGAAGCCTCCAGACAGACATTTGAAATCTGTCCAGGGGTAGGACCCCAGGGTGGTGAGAGGCTTTCAATGCCCATGGGGAATGAGCACCCTTCTGCTAATCATGGAGGGATTCACATGGGAAAGAGATTAACCTGGAGCAACGGAGAGAAGTAGAAGGGAAGCCAATTCCAGCCTAACATACTTTATACTGTCTCAAAGAAAAGTAGATATACAACAAGGTGGTGATTTCCCCGTCCTTAAGAGCACTCAAGAACTTGTTGGGGATGTTACAGAGGAGATGCAAGTAAGGGATGGAATGTGGATGAAATGATTTTTTAAAGGTCTCTCGATGTCTTCAGAGCCCACGGGATTGCATTTATGATTTCGGATACTACTAGCCAGCTCAACCCAAAACAGTGCTTCTATTCTTTACATCGATTGAGAGATACACGTTGGAATTAAGGTAGCTTTTAAAAGCCCTGATTCCCTGGCACTCTTCATAACTACCAGTTGCCTCAATCTTCTCAGGTGTTCTCGGCTTCAGGAAGGCGGAGGACACAAGGTTTTCATTTAATGGCTGATGTTTAGCAGAGTGCCCATTTTCCTTGTGTATGTCCCCTAATAAACTCTTAAGATGACAACCCCAAAGCCCATAAGCCTCTTAGACAAACATCCCCACCACGCTCCCGCCCTGCAAGCTGTGTTTAGTGTTTGAAGATGAAACACAGAGCCTGTCGCTTTATCTCACTGGAGGCCAACTCCACAGAAACAGGTATTGCTATAGTCAGTGGCTCCCGGACCTCGGCAATTCATAGACCAGTAAATTTTGAAAAGACGTGAAGGGGAAGGTTACCGACCTTTTGTATTTACAAAGTAAGGCCTTTTTTCTAAACTACTAAGGACTCATTATTATTTTATTTAAAGAAAGGAAATTTATCTTCTTATGCTTAGGAGCTGCATTCTGAAATATTTGTGGGCAAAGTGTCATGATGTCTGTATTTGTTTTCAAATGGTTAAAGAAGAAATAGAGAAAGACGCAGATGCATGCATGCAGCAAAATATTCATTGTCAAATCTTGATATCGACTGTGGGAATGTTGTATTATTCCAACTTTTCCGTGTTCTAAAATGTCATAATAAAATTCTAGAAATGCAAAACTAATGACAGAAGGCAGATCTGTGGTTGCCTCGGACCGGAGAGGTGGTGGAGCAGTTGACCTGGAAATGGATGCCAGTTTGGAACGTTCTATGGCTTGATCACAGTGGTAGTTGCACAACCGTATACAATCGCCAAAACTCATCAAGCTGTGCACTTAAAATGGGTGGATTTTGTTGGATGTAAGGTTTTTCTCAATAAAGATAGAGGGGAAGAGGAAGGACATTTCAATACCAAAAAATTGAGAACTTCCTAATTTTAAAAGGGCAATCCTTTATATTGAATAAATTCGGCTCTCAGAAAAAATTCACAGGACTGTCCTTATTTTTCTCATTTCTCCAAGAAGAGAAAAAAATCGCCACAGCCCAAGGATTGAGAATGGCATTTCCAAAAAAGGTGAGCTCTATCTATCATGCAGTCCACCCCCAAATTTCCTCACCTGCACGGCACTGGCAGGTCAGTGACTTAGCTCTGCCAGGCTGGGCCCTCTGTGGCCTGGCGCCCACGAGGCAGCAGGAGAACAGGGATTGCAGGAGCGGCCCGGGCCCTGCAGCCACAGCTCAGGCAGCCGCTGCTGGGAACTGAGAAGAGCCCTAGTCACTTTTCTTTCTTTTATCTTTGTATTTTCAAGGGAAAAATGAGATACTCCAACATTTCCACCCATACAGAGATATTGGTGAATGTTTGCTCCTTAGTGCATAGGTATGTGAACATGCGTGTGTATGTGTGTATACGTAAATATGCATAAGTGTATGTGCATGTGTAAGTATACATATATGTGTGTCTGTACATACATACACACAGTGTGTATTTGCAAACTGTGATCATACGACACGTGATCATGGCATTCTACAACCTTCTTTGTCCAGTCACAATCTCTACCTTCCTATTGCAATAATTTCATCTTAACCGTATTCAGATTTTCCCAATGGATGCAAAATGTCCTGTACATCCTGTTTGTCCAGTTAAGTGTCTAACCTGGGGCCACACATTACACCTGGATGTTGAGTCCCTTAGTGTCTTCTAATGTAGTACATCCCTTTTCTATGGCATTGACTTGTGGATTTGTCTGGCAGCTCTCTGGTGTCATTTAACTATTCCTCGTATTTCCCGTAAACTAGAGGTGAGGTCTAAAGGCTTGTGGATTCACATTAACCCGGAGTAACACATCGCGCGTGGCTGGCACCACTGACGATGCTCAGATTAACCCCTGGATCTGTGATGCAGCTTGTGATGAGACCAGGATCCATGTGGCGGCACTTTCCTGCTGCCGTAGGGACAGCCATTTCCCCACGACTCTTCACCTGATGGCTCTAATACCAATGAATAATCCTTGTGTTTTAAAATACAGGTTTTACTCTCATTCAGATAAGGCGAGGCCAACAGACCAGGAGACAATGGCCATCACATAGTTTGTTCCATTCCCACAAGAAGGGACAGGCCATGCCACATAGCCCACGGGGAAGCGTGGGGGTTGGCGGAGGAGGGGGGGAACGTCGGTGAGAGTCTTTCTGTGGTTTCTGTGGGAAGGAATAGGCCAGGCAAGGGAAGCAGGCTTGGGGGTGGCTGATTTGAGTAATTTCGAGCCGACTGGAGTGTAGGGTCATCCAGTTGTTGGATACCTGTCCCTGAGGGGATTAGGTTGGCGTGAGAAGGGCCTGGGGTGGAAGAGCCTGGGAAAGGAGGGCGGGGGCTGGGCTCTGGCGGGGTTAGTTGGCACAAGGCCAGTGGTTCGCCATCTCTAGGAACGGGCCAGCCTTGCGGGGTGGCAGTCTCTCCAGGGTCAACAGGGCCCCAGATGCCAAAGCATCAGAAATGCAAAACATAAAAAGGCATGATTAAGATAATCAGAGTTTTTCAGATGACGTTTTTCTAATTTCATCATTCCTTTCACATGTACTAGGTGGCATTCCTCTTTTTAAAAATTTTTTTTCCCTTAGAAATAAAAAAGTTTTACCAATTTTAGGTAAAACTGAGGAATGATCACCGGCTATTACACTGTTGGAATCCAATGACTTGATTTCCTCAGAGTACGTGTATCGAGGACCGTGTTCTGGAATGCTGGAGATGGGATACGTACAAAACAGTGAGAAATCTCTACATTCCTGGAATTTACTTTCCAGTAAGTGTTGCGGGGGAAGTGCAGAGAATAGATGGTAAACAAGGTAAGAAAACCATCGTGTGTGTCAGACGGTGATTATTGCTACAGAGAAAATGACGCAGGGAAGGATAGACGTGTTGGGTGAGCCGAGTTGGTGACAACAGGGTGTGCGATGGAAGACACTGGAGTGTAGACTCAGGGAAGCTGAGGGAGTGAGCCCCTGGCTACGTGCAGGAGAGTGTTCTGGGGGAGGAAACGGAAGGGCAAAGGCCCTGGGACAGGTTTAAAGAAAAGCAGAGAGGCCAGCGGAGGAGCAAAGTGCACGAGGGAGGGAGTGGTGGGAAATGCGGTCGGAGGTTACAGGGCTAGCTCACGAGGGACCTGGCAGACACTGTCCAGCTTAGATGGAAGCCACTGGAGTGTTTTGATAGCTGCTGACACCCAAACGTCAGGGGAGGCTTTCTGTGTCTAATTGCTGAGCTCCCAGGTCAAGTCCCCATGTGAGTGTGGCCACAGCGTCCCATCCATTCATTCCCCGGATGCTCTCGGGAGCAGGTATTGTTCCAGACACAGTGAAGGCAAAAGTGAGGGGCACACGATGGCTTGGGGGCCCTGCCCTCATGGGACCTGGAGTCAAGCAAGGGCAGAGGGACTAGAATAATCTCCCAGGCAAGAGTGAAGTGCCACTGCACCTCCAGCCTGGTCCTGAAGGTTGGGGACGGCTCATCTGAGGAAGTGACTCCCAGTCAAAATGTGAAGGGCCAAGAAGAGTCAACAAGGAGAGAGGGCGAGCTTGTTCCAGGCAAAAAGGACAGCAAGGTGGGAGCAGGATGTGGACGGGAACGCAGGTGGAGCTGCCCCAGGTTTCTGCCCGTGTCCTGGGAGCAGTGGGCAAGTGTCAGCAGGAGTGACGGGTCAGGGCTCGAAGCTGTCTCTGCCCAGGTGCTGAGAAGGGCCTGGAGGGTGGAGAGGGATGTAGTCTGACAGTGGAGAGTCGCTGTGGTCGAGGGAAGCACAGGCGCCAGTGTGGACTCACGAGGAGGCACCGGGGGTGGGAGGACGTAGACAGGCTCCAGAGACATTTCTCCTTGACCTTTTTGTTTATGTCCCTACACCCAAGGTCGCATTAGCGGCCCGCTGAGTTTAATCAAGTTTAATCAAGTCTCCTGGTGATGCCAGGGGGTGCAGGGATAATCGGTCTATTTCCAGAACCCAAAGAGGTTTAGGATAAAAAGTAGCTTTGATTAGCTCTTGTCCCTCCCACCAGCCTCCCGCAAGCTCCGGATGACTCATGCAGCCATGGGACTCTGTGCGGAGACTGGGGGCCTTGCTTAATGCTTAGAACTGCTGAAACCACCAGTTCACCATCTCAGCGCTAATCCAGCCTGCTCCTTAAATGGGATTTGGCTCCTAGACATTGAGACCTGGGTGCCGGGCCTCCTCGCCAGATCCTCTACAAATCCCCGACACACGTCAGCCGAGGCCCTTGCCCGAGCCTCCGAGGGGTTGTCTGGTGAGACAGGGCCAGCGTGCCGAGGGCAGGGGCTGGCTGCTCCTCATCTGAGGGCACAGGGACCCTCCCCTTGCCACCCCGCCCATCCCACCTGGTTGGTGACAAATCACAAGGTACGTGACCACCACGGTGCAGGGCAGGTTCAGGAAAGAGCAACCGTGGGCATTTCCACGTAGAGAGTCTGTCCCTGTTTCACCTTTTCTGTGTGGTTTTCCCTAAGACTTCGCTGGTTAAGGAAACTGGGAATGTACTTAATTCCCGACCACCAAGGTGGCCTCTGCGTTGTGTGCGAAACTCGGGAGTGGAGAAGGGGGAGCAGGAAAGGAAAGCCCTGCTTCGTATGAATCACAGAATAGAATTTGGGGGGTTGTAATACATTCTTGAAAACAGTGTTTGTGAAGTGCTCACATTGTGGTTTTCAGGAATGTGTTCTGTTTATTTGCCATAAGACACCGTCACGATAGAGCTTTAGATTCAACCTGAGTGTGACAACACCAAAGGTGTGTCAGAAAGTAAAACCTTCTCGTTGGAATCTAGCTATTCCCTGGTGAGGTTCCCTGCGAAATGTTTGAGGCTTACCAAGAAAAATAAAAGACTTAAAAAAAAAATAGCACCCCACAGTCAAATACAAACTAGGCAAAGACCTTCTTTAATAAAACTTGGATGTTGAAGCAGGTAGAAGGAAATGTCAAATGGCTGTACCCAGGATGTTCTTGACTTAATATTTAGGATTGTTTTACCTTCCCCAGCCCTCTAACACCAGACGGACAGCCCGAGGCGGAAGAAGCTGCCGGGGACAGGTGACATGGCGGCCAGCGGGAAGACCAGCAAGTCTGCGCCAAACCATGTCATCTTCAAGAAGATCTCCCGGGACAAATCGGTAGGTGGTGCAGAAGTGAGCAGCTTGACGGAAATCGTTGTAAAAAAAAATGGAGCTTGTTCAAGTATTAATATAGACGTGATCAACAGCCACACCCTGTGCCGGCCAGGGAAGCTCTGCGCCCATTTTCCGTCTGTCTGAGACGGGCGGTCAGGGAGATGGAAATGAATGAATGAGCTGCAGAAATACAGCTTCCCTTCGATCTCACGGAGACTCCAGTCCTGCGACCCTCAATTTTCTCCTAATTTCAGTCCCCACTCTCACCCCCACCTCTACTTTTCCAAGCCACGTGAGCCCGTCACTTACCATTTCAAACTATTTTGTCAGTACCTGTGACTCACTTGGCCCTTTGTCTGTCTGTCCTGCCCCTGCCTGAGGAAAGCCCAGGTGCTGGTCAATGGGACATTTTCCTCTCCGCGCACCTGCCCCACCGCCAGCCTCTCACACCTCAGCTGGCCTGCAGGGCCACTGGCGAAGGGAGCGTGCCCAATTCGCTCCTTTTCCGCCACTCTCCAGGGGCACATTAGATGGTCCCGATGTGCCCGCGAACTTCCTGGCCTGGGCCTCTGGGGATGGAGTCTCCTTGCCCCACTCGATGACTTCATAGGGGTTGACAGTCTAGCTCAGCACCCTCCGATGCAAGCCGCAAATGTAATTTTAAGTTTTCCAGTAGCTGCATTAAAAAAGAAAGCAGCAGCAGGTGGAATTCATTTAATACTATATATTTTTTTTTTTTTTTGAGACAGAGTCTCACTTTGTTGCCCTGGCTAGAGTGAGTGCCGTGGCATCAGCCTAGCTCACAGCAACCTCAAACTCCTGGGCTCAAGCGATCCTCCTGCCTCAGCCTCCCGAGTAGCTGGGACTACAGGCATGTGCCACCATGCCCGGCTAATTTTTTCTATATATTTTTAGCTGTCCAATTAATTTCTTTCTATTTTTGGTAGAGACGGGGTCTCGCTCTTGCCCAGGCTGGTCTCGAACTCCTGAGCTCAAGCGATCCGCCCGCCTCGGCCTCCCAGAGTGCTAGGATTATAGGCGTGAGCCACCGCACCCAGCCTAATACTATATTTTGTTTAACCCAATAGATAAAAAGCTATCATTTTAACTTGTAAATAATATAAAAACTACTGATGACATATTTTGTAGTCTTTTGCCAAGTCATTGAAAGCTGGGGTACATTTCATGTTGACAGCACATGTCAGTTTGGAATGGCCATGTTGAAGGTCCAGGAGCCACCTGTAACTAGTGGCTACCGGGGTGATCTAGATCATTCCAGATCATTCTTCTGAAGCCAACACTGGGCCCAAAAGAAAAACTGTCCAGTCCTTATTGTGCCACCCAAGAGAACTGGGCTCTGCACGTACCCTCCTTCTGCCCTTTCCTCTCCAGCTGAGCAACTGTCATTTTTATCTAGCGCTCTGACAAGTCGGGCCCCTCAAACTTTCCTTCTTCAAACTCTTTCCCAACCGGTGTCTTTCCAGCCCACTTTATCCCAACTTCTGGCAGAAGAGGAAACCACTTGTGCTGGTTTCTCCTGTCGTTTCCCACTTTTTCCCCCCCTCACACCTAGACGTCCTTTGAATCAACACATTTAGAGTTTTTTGTATATAGGTGATCAAGGGGGAGGGAGGAATTTATCGATTTGTCACATATTAGGATCATTTCAGCGGCAGCCACTGTACAGCTCCAGGCATGGCGTGCCAGGGCTCTGCATCCATTTCTCCGCGATTCTCTGGACTCTGCCCTCGCTGTGATCTTCACCCTCCAGCTGGTGGAAGTCGGCTGCCCCAGCTCCAGGTGTCCCACCCTCACTTGACAACATCCGGAGGAAGGAAGAGGTTGTGGCTTCCTGGGTTGTCTTTTAAGGGTCAGAAAATCGCTCCCAGAATCCCTGCAGCAGACTGCTCTCACATCCCTTTGGTCGAAACTGGTCACATATCCACCCTAAACCAATCCTGAACCACAGGAATTAGGTGATCATGACTGGAGCAGGCCAGTGAAGAATCAACCCCTGGCTGGCCTCCTCTTCGCATACCGCCGTGTGGAGGATGGCAGATGCTGAATGCAGCTGGCCACTTCCATCCAGGGAGAAGGGGCGCATGGCTGTGGGGTGGGCCCCCATCGGGCTGGCTACAGTCTTACATCATTAGGGCCCACTTCCCTGCCTGTCCCTGCCCTTCCCATTGCAGCTGAAGGGGGCCTTCACTGCCACCTGAGGTTCACTGCTACTTACACCCTGGGTCCCTCAGTCCACACCTCCTCAGGGGTCCCCGCCATCGGTCCCTCCCAGCCTGCGCTGTGTCTGCAGCCTCTCCCTCTCTGCCAGTACTTTGCCGGAGCCTAAAAACAAGTGCTGACCTCATGCATCTTACAAACAACCACCACCTCTCAACCCCTCTCGACCAACCACCACCGGCTCTGCTTTCTAGCTCTCCTTCCTTTGCAGCCAAAGCTTGAAAGAGAAGGAAACACTCTCTCCACCTGCCCTCCTCCCTCTCATCCACTCTTCCATCCCTCTCCCCCCAGCCCAGTCAGGCTGCCTAACTGGCTGGCCCCTGGCCAATCCATGCTCCACTTTGCTGCTCACACGATCCAAGCCTCAGTGTTCCCCTCTATAAAATGGGGTTAATTCCTATCTCATAGAGTGGAGGATTAAGTGAAATAATGTGGCCTGAGCGCTCAGCTTGGTGCCTGACATGTGATCAGCATTCTAAATGCTGTTTCATTCTTCCAAATGCTTCTTCTCTATTTAACTCAGCTCTTTCATTCTGCTTAAGATGCTTCAACGTCTTCCTAGAGATTCTCTAGGGTCAGGGCCTATAAGACCCTTTCTGGAAGCAGCCCGCGTCCCCATTCGGTGGCCGTTCACCTGAGATGAAAGCGTTGGCAGCTCCAGAAGCGTTCTCTTGGCTCTGGGCTTTGCATATGTTGATCTTTTTTGCCCAGAGAGCAGCCCCTCCCCCTCCCCTGTCGCCTGGCTATGCTGTCTGTCCTTCAGGTCTCACTTAGGTAAAGCCTCCTCTGAAAGGAAGAGCCTTGCCTTCCTTTGCCCTGCCATTTACCCCAGGGGTGCAATTGCCAGTTCACCTGGGGGGCTCCCAACCACAGAGCAGGGACCTCAAGGACCAACGGGGGGTCCTGTTCGGTTTTTATCTCCAGCGCAACAGAGCCTCTGGGGCCTCCATAACTGTGCCTGGATGAAAGAAAGACACATTTGCCTTATTTATGGAGCTCAAAGTCTAGTAGAGGGGACAGGCTTCTGCAGAAGCAGCCACAACACAGTGTGGCCCACGCAGGGTGGGGTCGCAGGCGATGTGCTCCTGGGGCACCCAAGGCCAGGCTTTGCCAGGTGGAGGAGGGCTGGGGACCCTGTGGTGTTCCCTGAAGTGTGGACAGGATTTCTCCAGGTGGAGATGCAGCAGAAGGCCTTCCCCACTCAGAAACACTAGGGACAGGGCACAAATCTCTGGTGTGTGGGGAATAAGGACAGAGCTGCTATGACCAGAGCCCAGTGGAGGAGCAGGGCTCTCAGGGTGGCTTGGCACCAGGAGGTAAATGGCCCTGTTGGCCACATGTAAGGGACAGGATTTTATTCCACAGAGAGCGAGCGAGCAGCCGCTGAGCAGCAGAGTAGCAACAAATTCATTAGGGTTCCTGCAAAACACCCTCCAAATAGGTGGATTTGATGAGAGTTTCTTAAAAAAGCTCGCCTGCGTCAGCCCCCCAGGGTGCAGCGTGGATCTGCAGGGCAAAGCCAGGACACCCAGGCTGTTAGGACGCTGGTGCCCACTGCAGGCAAGGGGCACGTAGGAGCATGCGTGCGGCCAGCCCCTTCTCTCAGATGCCGGTCTCCCACACTAGCCCGGGCCACGGAGGCCTCCGGAAAGCATTTGGCCCTGGGTTTATGAGGTTTCCCATGGAACCTTCTCTGCAAACCAGGGTTCTGGTGGCATTTGCCTGAAATCACTTCAACATCAATCATGCGAATAACCTAGAAGGCACAGGGACCCACTTTGGGACACCTGATACGGGGTGGGAGAGTAGAGTATAAGAGATGATTTAACGTCAACAAAAATGATCTGGGCTGTTCATGGAATTAAAAATGTGCGTTGGAAGAAGGGGCTCACCAGGGTGTGTGCCCTCGTTCATGGGTGCACTCAGCAGACACTGAGTGAACTCCTTTGTGCACAGACACTGGAGCAGGTACTGTCCTGGCTTCAACATGCTTAGAAGACTCTGGCTTCTTACCATTTTACTGTGGGTTAACATGATGAGCTATGGGGACCCAACACGTGCTCTCCCACAAAGGGGGTGAAGAGACCTTTGCTGCCCAGGACCCAGATGCAGACAGGGTGAGGGCCCAGACCGTGGTCATCCGCTCCCCAGCCAGCTGCCCCCACCTTCCTCAGAGCGTGGGTTCAGGGCTACCTGTGTAGAAGCTTACCTGGTAGGATTGCAAGGACTTCTTCCACAGCTTCTCCACATTTGCTCAGTCCGGAAATTCTTTTAACAAGGAGGGGAAACCTTTTATTCCACAGCTAGAAGTAAAAGATTTAACATGCAAGTGAATGATAGTAGCCTCATTTGCATAGTTATAACTTTCAACTAAAGTGTTATCAGTTAATTCAACAAGTTTCCTGGTTGATATCAGACCTGGGCTCGATGGGGAAAGGTGGAGAGAGCAGGGAGCCCCTGACCATCCAAAGAGGTGGGAAGAATTCCTCAGAGCAGATACATGAGGACTGAGGATAGAGGGCACCTTGCCTGAAATCCCTCGTCTCTGCCCGCAGCCTAGTCAGGAGAGAAGGGAGCGACAGACACACTGCAGAGCCTCCTCTTTTCAAGACTATGACAAGATTTGTTTTTTGGTAGTTTTTAACACGGATGCCTTAGCTTAGTGTTCTCTGGCCGTTTAGAACCCACACCTATTCTTCCCGCAGGTGACCATCTACCTGGGGAAGAGAGACTATGTAGACCACGTCAGCCAAGTAGAGCCTGTGGGTAAGTTGTTTGCAGTAAAATTTTAATGCTGGTTTTCCTTTAAGTCATCAGACAACTGCTAGTTTTGTATTTTTAAAAATCGGTCTTGCTAATAATCTAATTAAAGAAATGCAAACTAAAACATCAATGAGGTGCCACCGGCTGATTGGAAACAGTTTTAGAGTGTGAAGAGACGAAGGACTTTTCTAGAATATATGAAGAATGCTCAAAACTTAACAGTAAAAAAAAGCTAAATCCAATGAGCCAATGGGCAAAAGACATGAAAAGACATTTCACCTAAGAAGACACAGGGGTGACAAATAAGCACTTGGCAAAACGTCCGCATCATTAGCCCCAAGGGAAATGTAAATTAAAGCCACACTGAGATGTCGTAATATGGCACCAAAATGAAATGGCTGAAATTAAAGACAGTGACAATACCAAATGCTGATGAGGATGCAGAGAAACTGGACCACTCACGCGTTGCTGGCGGGATGTAACATGGTGCAGCTACTCTGAAAACTCGTTCAGTAGCTTCTTACAAAACCAACCACACACTCGCTGTAAGACCCAATGATCGCATTCCTGGGCATTTGTCTCAGAGAAATGAAGACTTCCTTCCTCACAAAAACCTACACACGATTGTTCATAGCAGCTTTATTCGTATAATAATAGCTCCAAACTGGAAAGAACCAAAGTGTCCTTCAAAACGTGCCGTGTCAGCTTCCTAGTTTTGATATTGTCCTATAATTAAGTCAGATGTAACCACTGGAAGAAAGTAGATGAAGGATACTGTACTATCTTTGCAACTTCTTCTGCATCTATAATTATTTCAACGCAAAAACTTTTTTTAAAAAAGTAGAAAAACTGGCAGTTCCAGGCACCGAAGATGAAAACGTTCTTTGGCAAAACCCTTTTTGGAAGGTGATTTGGCACCATGTTATCAAAAAGCAAAATCCAATTCTACAATTTATTTTTTAAAAGTCATGGAGAATATAAAGCTTTATGTCTAAGATTGTTCATCACAGTGTCATTATGATGAGAAAACTGGAAACGACCCAAATCCCCTAACACTAGCAGGTCCATTAAGTAATTGATGGGACATCCATTCAGCGCAGTAATATGTAGCTAGCAAAAGGATTAGCACATGTTTTATATATGTGCATAGGTACATACATGTGTGAACATGAACAGATGATTGCAGTGTGCAGTGGTTTGAGGAAAGTAGTTAAATTAACAGTATATATAATAGGATCTTTTTAATAGTAAAAACATTCATATAATTAAATGCATATATGTGTGGAAAAAAATTCTGCACCAGTATCTCGACAATGCATATTTCAGGGTAGTGGGAATCTGAATGACTTTGTTCTCTCTTCACCTAACTTCTCTTTCTAATTTTCCTGTAATGAACATGGATGACATGTGCAAGTAAAAAATGTTTATGGTATTTAAAGTAGCATCTGGTTTCTTTGACTTCCTCCACCCTCACTGTTCTCTCCCTCTCTTGCTTTAGATGGTGTCGTATTGGTTGATCCCGAGCTCGTGAAGGGAAAGAAAGGTGAGAT